GATTTATTAAAATTGAAATTAGAGAAAGAGTATGATCCCAATAAAACAATATTATGCAATTAGGCTTAGCTCATATCTCAAATATTCCCACGATTCGGAAAAATAACTAACGAAACAATGGAGCATAATGGAAGAGAACGAAAGAAAAAAGGAAGAGAGGAGAGAAGAAGGAAAGAGAAAGAAAGGAAGGGAAAAGAAGTGGGGTGGAAATGTAGCGAAAAAGCTATCTGTTAATGATAGTATGAAATGATTGAGGATTGCTTGCTAAAACGGTTTTTTTTTTTTTTTAAATAAAAAAATTCTTTCTTTAAACCAAAATGCAACGTTACAAATAACGATGGTCATCAAATGACAAATAATGGTACCACATTTCACTAATCTTAAAAAGTAGATGGCATATCAATACTGATTTATATATACATTAGATCATTAATGCTAGTAAAGAGTACAATTGAGACCATTCATTAGGAAAAAAAAAGATAGGATAGGATGAAGTTGAGAGAAAGTGCAGGGAGAATAGATGTGAAAAATATTTGAAATGAAGAAGAATGATGAATAAATTTGAAAACACAAAATGTATAATTTATCCAACAATTCCTCACAAATAATTTATTGAAAATAATAAATAAACTTGTGTTGAAATTTTTATAAAACTTGATGAAAATAAAAATTTCATTTCATTATGATAGAAAAAAAAATGAAAGGATTTCGTGCTTAATTTCGCACATGTATTAAACAAAATGTTAATTTCGGGTAAAAATAAATTTTGAATAAATTAATATGTGTGATTTATTAAAAAATTGGAAAAACTTTTTTGAATACAATGAAATTGCATTGAATGTAAAGCTTAATGATATTTTAATCAGAAAGCTTAGTGATATTGTAATTTGTTTGTATCGATTTTGATCCCTATCATTTTATGCTTGCATCAATATTCAAAAAAGATTCTATTCTTTCTGCAATAATATTTTAAACGTCATATTTTGAGCTTGAAAGGTTTTTAAATTTTATTGATATGTTGTTATGTTCAGGTATTTTATTATGTAGTCATTACAAAACTACAATGGTGTATTACCAATTTTCATTACTTCTAAAATATTTTTATATCATATCCAACAAATTCAAAACCATTGCTCAGGCTAGATAGAAGAAAACAGTAA